GAAAACCATGAGTTGAAAACTGCATGTTCCGGATTCTTTCCAGACTAGTCCCAAATGGTATCAAGAATAGCACAAGGGTCACACAGCTTGGCAGATGTGAAAACTCTGCAGTTGAATTAAATAGGTTCTACTGTGTCTCTGAGATTTGAATGGGTTTCTATGGAGCATGGCCAGAGAATACCAGGTCGCTCCTTTGAGTCTCGAGGGCACCATGGGTCCTTGCTGCTAATGTTATGCTTCAGTCTCTGAAAGATGGGCAGAAATGAGCAAAAGTCCTACCTTATTCCCAAGAGGATCTAGATATTAAAATATCAAAAGGGCAGAGGACCTCATTTTTGAGACCAGCCCAAAAATGAATGCCAGAAGTCTGGTTTAATGGTAAAATTATTACTAGTCCATAAAAATGTTCATCTAAAGCCACCCATTACATTACGGTCCCATAATTTCACTTGTCTTTAAAGCTAGACTAATCATCTCCATGAATGTTTACAATTGCATTTTGCTTTTCTTGGCTCCTGAGCTATCCTCCTTGTATACTGTTCTCTGGAAATATCCCCCATTCCTAGAAAGGAGGAAGGTTTTAGGATTCTGCCATTTGGAAATCTGAATCTGATGCTCATTAATGGCTCTGTGATCATGACATCCAACAGAACCAGATGCCTTGTTTTTGCTGGTGGGTTTAATTGCACTATATTAACGTTTGTTAGGAATGAGATCTAAGCGTTTTCGAGAGATTAAGTCCTCATAAAGAAACTCAGTAATGTTTTCATCAGCCACATTTACTGGGGAAGAGGTGATTACTTCACTTATGCATTCAACAGTTGTGTGTTCGGTAGTTGCTATGTTAATGTTGAGTGGGTTCTATAAGCTTCAGGAAGCCGCCTTTAGGGTGGGAAGTGCTTTCTGCATTTTACATCTTTTAATGTTTAATGAATAAATGCTACCAGGGCATTTGAAGATCTTGACTGGAAATTATTTTCTTGCATTAGTAATGTAAAAGAAAGGTTGGAATCTTTCTCTATGGGCTTCCTCTTCCATTAAGTCCAATTCAATCACTTATCTTCTCATCCTCCCTAACTTGGTGGTATCATTTCAGTGCACTTCACTGTGTTGGCGTGGTGTTGTGGGAGGCAGACTGGCTTGCTTTATATTTGAATGACTCCTTTGCTTCTGACCAAGTACTCAGTGCAGGCCTTGTTGGTGGTAATGGCACAGGTGTAACCCATATTGGCCTACTCCTGATGTACCCCAAAACAATCATAAATAGCTATTGTTCACGTATTATTCTAGGAGCTTCCACAGACCTTCACAGTGATGCAGAAGACAGACAAGGCCTTGCATCTCTGCATCAAAATCTCTTCCTTACAGGGGAGGCTCAGCTCCAGGGCATGGCCAATCCTTCCAGTGCATCTTCTCTGCATCTCCTAAGGGAGAATTTGTATTTTAATAGTGGACAGTGGTTTTTTCCCTTTCTAGATCTACATGGTAACAGAAATGTGTACTTTACAGATATCCAACAATAGAACAATGGCTAGATATATACTATGTGGGCAGATGCCTGACGGGCTGTTCAAATGCATATTTTCAAAGACTAGGCAGACAGAGAGGAGTGGAATGCTAAGCAGTTGGTCCTCATTTTATTTAAAAATTGAGCATGCAGGACCCAGGATTTAGCTCAGTGGCACAGTATCTGCCTGATAAGCATGAAGTCCTGAGTTTGATTCCCAGTACCCCTCCAAAAAAAAAAAAAAAAAATACGCATGCATGGAAATTGAATACACTAAACTGTCAGCAGGATTTTTCTCTTGCTAGTAGAAAAAGGACTCATTTTTCTTTTCTTCTTTCTGAGTTTTCCAGTTCTTTTTTTTCCCATATAATAAAAGCACATGGGTTATTTTGCTTTATGCTACAAATTTTAAGTCAGATGAATTCATTGGGTGATTCTTGCTCTTTTTATTTATAAAATTGCATTTTATAAATTAGGCCTTAAATGTAAGTGGGGGGGATATTTTTGTTAGTGTATATATTTTAAATAGTGCATGGTTACTATATTTGGACTTGGCTATAACCCATTTGTTGGTCTCTGTGAGTTCCTGAAAATGACTCCTTTTGATGTCATGCATGAATCCAGACATGATTTTGAGACTTTCTAGCTGAATTTGTGCAGATGAAAACTGCCCGCGTCTGCTTCCAAGAAAGACAGGAGACCCAGGTGTGACACACCTTCCTAATCCCAGCCTCTGGGAGGTGCAGAATCACAAACTCCAGACCAGCCTGGCCAGTTTAGAAACTTAGCAAGACCATGTCTCAAAAATAAAACAGTCTGGGGATGTAGCTCAGTGCAAAGGTCATACGTTCAGTTCCCAGTACAGCAAAAACAAAACACAGCAGAGTTGAGACACAGACCATTAAAATAGGAATCAGTGAGGAGTGGGGTTTCACTGGAGAGACCTCAAGGAGTGCTTAGGAGCTCAGAGGAAGAGGGATGCAGCCAGTGTCAGGGTCACAGCCACAGCCAAGTGAGTGCTGTGCCTCAGGGCTTTGGCGGTCCTCAGATGGCACATGCACTTGGTACGTGAGGCAGATAATGCTTATTACAGATAAGAATCTTGAAATTAAAAAGGCAAACCAGTCAACATGGGCAGTGAGGACTCTGCATTTCTTTCTCAGGAAGTTCGTCTTCAGTGTTTCTCTTCCTTTCTGAGTAGGTGGGCTTCCTAAAGGCTGCCAAAAACCCAAAAGTGTGATGCTTGGTTCTGAAGGAACCCTAAGGAAGTGTGCTTGTGTCACTCTGCACTGCGTCCTCTTTTATGTGGCACTGAACACTCATTTTGGTCACTTTTCCCCTTCCTGTTGGAGTCCCCTGCCTCCCCTCACTTGGCCAACTGAGACGTGTTTTTGTTCTGGCGCTACAAGCGTAAACTGAGTCACTGGACAATCACCTGACTGCTCCTGATGAGTCCCTGAGGCACCTGGAAAGAGACAGTAAAGCTTCCTCTGTTTTAAGGTCCGGATCCTGAAAGCTTTCTCCGGATCCGTGGGATAGGTTGTCTGCTGAAAACCTTTACTGAAAGTAATAAGCTTATGGTCTCACGAAGATAATTGTAGCGTTTCAGCTTAGGACAGATGCTTAAGCTATCTGAGTAGATTAAAATGAGTCCTAAATGAAGCTTAATATTTGGTCTAATTAATTTGCTCAGCGCTGAGTTTTAGTTTCTCTAACATTCCCAGGACACAGCTGAGAATATCTGAGATCAGTTTTGACTCATTTTAAAAAATTTTAAATAAGTGGACAGGATTAAAGAGAAAAACAGAATTGACAACATGTAAGATTCATGCTACTGACTGATGACATCACAATCAAAAAGTTCTGTAATCCATTGATGAAAATAATATTGTTTTGATGTGCTTAGTAATTATTTTAACAAATAATAATAATAATAAATGGTGACCATTATGTATCTTACACTGAAATGTATTGAGTAATAGTGTAAATATGAAAAGCTAAATGCGTATTTATTCCATCGAGACCGATTCATAGTTGAACCCCATCATACTAATTTTATTAGGTGTTTTCCTTCTATTTAAAATATTCATACATTTAAGGTTATTTATAGAATAAAGCATATATCATATTTTTATTTAAAATAAGTATTGACTTAAATAAGGGAAAATTTGCATTAATTGGAACCTTAAAAATTTAAGAGTATAGAAATGATCTCATTCTGTTGTACATAGAATATCATTTTTATTTACCACAAATGCAGTGATTTGATTTTTGTGGTATTACTTGAAATTACTTAGTTGTTGGTTCCTATCACAGCCTGATCTAATAGTTAATATGTGATACAGTGTGACCATCAAACACCGCCCATCAAACTCTCACGGAGGCTTTTGCAGGAAAAAGATAAACACCAAAAACCATGATATTTTACGAATTTCATAGAGGCTTAAGTGAAGCCTACGTTTTTCCTTAAGGCTCCAGCAAGTATGTGGACCCAGACCTGGTGACAGCAGAGGGCAGTGCATGGTACCCACCCTGCTGTCCTCACCCCGAGGTCTGACGGAATGAGCTTGAAGGAAACAGAGACCCTGCAGCCAGGCAGGAACTATCAGTCTCACCTGTGTCAACGTCACCCGTGGGGCCTCTTGGTCCTGAACTTTGAGCATGAAAATTGACACAAGTGAAAAATAAAAATGCCATTCTTGAAAAGTTTAGGGTTGCTGACCAAATCCACTGAATTGTGTATCAATGTTAAAAAAACCAAACAGGAAAACTACAGATGGATGAATTAGGAAGATGGGCAGGAAAGGATGAGAGATTGAACACAGCTAGATGAAATCAAGCCAGGGAAGCTTCATGAGTTGGTGGGGGAAGGCCCACGTGGGCAGAAGGGTCTGAGAAGACAGTGTGAGTTTTCAAACTCCAGACCTGGGTCACCATTACTAGCAGCAATTACCCAGGCAGAGGGAGACATACGCAGGATGTGTACTGTGTGTGTTACGGTTCTCGTAGCCGACAAGCTTGCCTATGGGAGTTAGCATGATCAGGAGCCAGAGAGTAAAGAAGTAGATCAGATTTCCTTGGGTGCAGATGTCCACTCATGCTGAGCTCCTTTGTTCCTGTGGTGTAGGACGGTGAGCGCTGGTGTTGAACCCTCTGAGTTTCAATGGTTGCCCTGCTATTTTGTCCTTGACCTTGAAAAACTACTGAATTGCTCAGGTACTAACCTCATAGACTATTGCGGGGATTAAGTAGCTTTGTGAACATACATTCTCTAGAACAGTGCTGCAGTTTAATGCCTGATAGATGATAGGGATCAGTACTAGTAGCGGTGGTTTCCAAATATTTTCGTTCATTCATCCATCCATTCATTTATTTACATGTTCACTCAACCATAGCACTAACTAGGTTGTTGCTGAGAAATGGCAGAGCTGCACAGGAAACCAGCTTCAGAAAGCAAGGAAATAACATGCATTTGCTGTCTTCTCCCTTCCAGTGGTGGCTCCCTCTTCTGATCATCCTGCCCTGCCCACCGCAGACATCTGGAGGCGGGCCCTGAACACTGAATCCTAAGAAGTTTGTCAGAGTCTCACTGACACCTGTCTTGGCATGCGGGGAGAGTCCTACTTCATCGGCATGAGGAGCCTGGGGCCACCAGGGCACATCCCTGAGGACGGAGGACTTTTCTTACTCTGCTGTGTAGAGAGAGACTGGGCCGTCACACGGTGCTTTGCCGAAGAAGCCTTTCAAGCGATTACTGACTTCAACGACCTCCCCAATTCCCTGTTTGCATGCAACGTCCACCAGTCTGTGTTTGAAGGAGAGGAGAGCAAGGTAAGAGGGCTCCTCTGTGCTGGAGACATGGAGAGATGTGGTGTCATCTCCACACAGTTGTTTCGTTTCCTGGGGCTGTCTGGGAGCTTTTGCAAATGTGTGGTTGGCTCTGTTGTGTGTGATGCAGGGTGAACAGAGCCTGTTTGGTGATCAGCTAGCATCAGAGATACTCTGACAAGGGATGCTGAGGCTGTGTTGAATCATGTCTGGTTCTCTTCGACCCCTGGGTCAAACTGACAAAAAAAAAATTGCTGTTAAGACCAAGGATTGGAAGAGACACCCCCTCGGGCTAGGAAGCAGATTTTTTTTTTTTTTTTTTTGATCTTTTTCCTTTTTATCGGTACCGGGGATCGAACTCACAACTGCCTGCTTGCAAAGCAGGTGCTTATGCTGCTGAGCTAAATCTCCAGCCCCGGAAGCAGATATTTTAAAAAACAGTTTTCTTTGTTTATCTTCTGCCAGACACATAATTTGGCTTCTTTGAAACAGCACCAACTCTCTTTTAACTCCTCCCCCTCCTGCAGCTTGCTGCATGTTGTAAAAATATCTTCTTGGCTTGTGATGCAGGTCCCATATAGAGATCCCTTCCTGGTCCTCATCACAGTCCGAGAAGTTTATATTTGTAACCCCATGAGAAAGTTATTAGAATTCTACCAGATTCATTCCAATCTACCACTTCCAGTGCAACCCTTAGTGAGAATAAAGACACTAAGGCATATCTATAGTTGTGGGGAGCCAAAGTGGTCCTAAGTCTAGCGAAGGTGATAGTTAACGGAAACAAAGGCTTCAACCCAAGGCCAAACCCAAGCTTTATTAATTCTCTACAAGGGTAGTGGCTCAAAAATGAGTGATTGTGAGAGTGGCACAAAGTACTTAAGTGCCATGAGCTGGGCTATTTAGGAGGCCTGAAACTAACTTTGCAATATGCAGAGATCAGGGTATGCAAAAAGAGTAATCTGCATAACGTGTTCAAGGTAGTATCTAATGTTTGGGGCAGGTGCTTCAGCTCTGGGAAGTCATAGCCTCTTATCTTGAGGCTCTATCCAGCATGGTTCTCCTTTCCACCTGGCTCACAAATGTTTTGCGGGAGTTGGTGGGGAGCAGGGTAACACTGACCTGTCACCTTGCTTCAAAAACTATACCCCAGCACCTGACTGGACTAATTTGCATTGCTTAAAAACAAAGTCCTAGCCAGTTCTCTACATATCAATATATAGCAATAGGGCCAGATTTATTCTAAGTGGAAATAATGGCTCTTCTTGCAAGGAGAGTCATCCAGGTAGTCCTCCACAGTCCCACTGAGGCATGGAGACAGTGTTCACCATGTGAGGTCTTTGCTCTTTGATGCCATAGGGCTGGCATCCCTGTGTGTGCCTTATAAGGATTTGAAGAGCAGGTTGATGCCTTAATATGAAATGGGTGAGGAGTGAGGTTTTCTGTGTGACTTAGAGATAATATTCTTGGAAATCACAGTAAATATTCCATTTGGAGATCTTTCTGAAATTTCCTTGAGATTTCTCCAATCTCTTCAAGCAGGATTCCTGACTGGATCCAACCTCCCCTCCTTTGTGGTTGTTCCTATGGTAAACATTCCACCACTCTACCTTATTGTAAAATACAGGCGGCCTTTGGGAAGAGAGGACTTTTTCTGAACTACAGTGCATGGCTCAGTGAAGCACAGAGCAGCATTGCTGTGTTATAAACTTGAGCTCTCTCCGCCAGCTTTCCAAAGGCCAGGCTTTGTTGACTGAGCACAACTAACTAGAAGTCTGATTTCTGGGTTTTAGTGATTTGTACCCAGGGAAAACCATTCTAGAGGATTAGGACGCTATTTCAAGTCATTTGATGACATAACAATATTATGTTGGAGTTGAGCAATTAAGATGATGGGCTGGCAGCAGCTTGAAGCGGAACTGACCACATGTGATTAGAGCCTCGGCGGCTGTGATCCCCAGGCTGCTTACGATAAGGAAGTGGCACACAGCAAGAAGAGATGGGAGTTCCGTTCTTGGATTATAACAAATTATAATTTATTCAGGGTCAGTAATATGCTCTGAAGTATTCCTGCCAAGCACAAATTATGAAACAAAGGTTCATATTTTCTTGTATCTGTTATCTGAGTATCACAATTAGAAGGATTTTCCTGGGAGATTTAATGGTGATTTCAATTCTTTCTTAATTAAATACTAGAATATTGGCACAGTAGGATTTAGGGTTCTGTGAGGTCATATGGGTCTTTTTGGGGGGTTCTACTGAAGAATAGCTCATCCAACTGACTCCTCTAGGGACATAAGAGGATAGAGTCTAGGGGACTGTTCCAGAGACTCTTCCCACATATGTTTCCATCCTTTGATGCCCTGGGTAATAGGTTACAAGATATTTTCAGTTAGTTGGTATACAAAGTTGGCACCTATCAGTTTGAGAAGTAGCATGTGGTTTTAAAACAACCTTAACAAAATATTGAGCTGAAATAAGGCATAGTTTATTGAGACCAGTTTCAAATTATTGTATTTATAGTCAGAGGTAAATTTTATAATTGAGCAATGACCCCATCATGAGACATTAAATCAGACAGAAAGTGTGGTAATTGACTTCTAGTGTTTCTAGAACACCAAATAAGTGGATAGAAGTTTACATTTGATTAAATTGTATCTACTCGGGTAAAGGGTAGATATTCAGGATAATCAGACACCAGGTAAACTGATGATTGTCAAGAGCTGTGACCACTGGACACCAAGGAGAAGAGATGAGAGAACCTCCTGGTACCACATTTCCACAGTCAGTTGCTGCTTTCCTTGATCCAAAACCCCCCAGTCTTCCCTATAATTTAGAGCTGGAATTACAGCCCATCCTCCTTGGAAGCCCTTTTGCTGAAAGCTCACTCACTACAGTGGAGCTATCAGGGTCCACTCTGCAGGGTCTGCAGGGTCTGTGGCATGCAGAAGTCTTCAGGTCCTGGGGTGCTCTCCCAAAGGAAGCTTTGGGGCTTCTGTTCCTTATTCCTCCTCTTTCCTTTCCCAGCTATGAGGTCAGCAGTTTTGTTCCAGCAGGTGCTTCTACAGGGATGGGCTACAAGGCCATTGCTGTGGGCGCTCATGAGCTATGAGCAGAAATGAACCTGCTCTACATAGAACAGCACTATGTCAGGGATTTGTTCTTCTGTTCTGGGAAACCTGTGTCACACAGGTCTCCGTTATTTGCACTATCTCAATAAGTCAGTGTGTTCCTCATTCTCCCAAGACATTCTTTCCACAGCATTCATATTTGGTGAATCTGAGCCATGACGTCTGACAATGGTTATCTTTCCCAAACAGTGGACGTGTTGGGCACGGTGCTAAGTTGGTGGGGAGATATTTATAGACAGAGGAAAAAGAAGCAAAAATTCCTGTGTTTGCCTGTGGGCAAAGGCTAGCAATGGTCATTGTCTTTATATTTGGTTCTGGGAAGATGCCTTCAGCATCTGGGATGACACCAGAGAGATGATGCCTGGCCATTTAGCTCAGCAGCTGAGGTGGCCGGTGGGTGAAATGTAACTTTGCTTTGGCAGAATCCTTTGCTTTGGTACAATCTACTTCTGAATCATGTGTATTGATATTGGTGAATTTGAATTTAGCACATTCCTTGCAATTACAAAAAAGCATTTAAATTCCTTAGGTAAATATGAAGCTTTGGCTTTCCGACTATGCTGAATGATTTGGGTAGCAATCTCTTCCCTGTTTTCTCACAGCTAAGTTCCTTTCCCACAGCCTTTTCCTTTCCAAGGTGATTTGGAGAGCATGGAACTGGTCTCTTCATGGTGTGCTCCTGCTTATTCCATGTGATAAGTATTTTACATGCTTGCTTCTGCTATGTGCCTGAAATTCAGAGCTCTGACACCTGAAACACATTTTTCAAACAGCTTTGTGGGGACAGTGATGCTCACTCCTGCTTCCAGTGAGGCAGAGTTCTGTGCAGTCCCGTTTAGATGGGATGCTTTTGCGATGAGTGGGCACCTGGTACAGCGTGGCTTCTTGTGGTCCAGATGGTTGGGGTGTGTTTATGTAACACAGAGGAGAACCAGAGCAGGCAGAAATTGGCATCTGAAACCAATGAGTACAGATTGCTGTTTGCATGCCGCAGTGTGCAGTGTAAATATTTTTGTAAGAAACACATTTAGAGCTTGAATTCCACATCTCGGCATTACTAGGTTCATTTCCCTTCTTCAGTTTGGCTCTCTGGATCCCTCTGGGCTGCAGAAGTTGTGAAATAGGTGAGGCTGGAGGACAGCAGCATCCTCTAAGCTGTGGGTATGATGCTGCACCAAGCATGGAGAAGCATCTGTGCAGCCAGGATCTGAGGGAAAGCGGGGAGAAAGTCAACCTGAAGTGAATTCAGCCAAGTAAGAGAAGCAGGAAAGATGATTCTAATGGCCTTGACAACATGTGAATCCATTCAGTGAAATAACAGAGGAGCAGGAACAGATACGCGTAGAGCACATGGGGCGGAGCTGGGTGCTTCTCTAAGTGCTTTATGAACACCCTTTCCCGTCACCATGACAGCCCCATGAGGTGGCACCTCACTGCCTCTTGCTTCTGGGTGCAGAGCAGGATCTTGTGCCTGGGCCAGCTCCGCCCCGTGTGCAGAAGTAGTTTGTGTCAGGCCAGGCGTGTAATTACTAATATTGTGCCCTGCTGAATGCCAATATTAGGCTGGGGAAACTGGCATTGTGCCAGCTTTCTGAATATCTCTAGAAGCTGCGAATGTTTTCATAATCCATTTTGAGAATTTTTTTTCTTAGTACCGGGGATTGAACTCATGACCTCATGCTTGCCAGACAGGCATTTGTGCCAATGAGACACATCCCCAGCCCCATAATATGTCTTGAGACAAAGCCTCACTTGGTGCATTTCATTTAAAGTCTGACCCAGAAGGATGAGAAGTTCCAGTCGTGTGAATTCTCATGTGATCTTTTGTGGCAGTAATCCTGTTTTTAATTGCCAGGATTGCCCTGGACCTCGAGG